ACGGTACCTGACTACCACTACCAACTGCTCTGAAAGGGACAGGATTAGATGGACCTGGAGAGAGTGGGGAAAACGGGGACCCAAACTCAAAATCATAAAAAATGTTAGTCTTACTAGTGGGACAGAGACTGATGGAGACCCTAAGACTCTGTATGACCCCTAGTCACCATTCAGGTCTGGAACTGAACTCACCTCTTGGCTCACTTTTCATCCAAACACGTTTATAAGGAAAATATTAATACTAGTGAGGTATGAACACCTTAGAACAAATAATCAACTAGTGGAGAACAAAGGGTAGAATTTACCCAAGGACAAAGTTGGGAAAGAAGGAAGAAAGTGCAATCACTGAAAAGAAACAAAATGTGTATGAACTGTTGAATGTGAAATTTATAAAATTCTGTAAATCCCAATTCACAATAAAAGTTTAAAATATGATTGCTATTTTTTTTTAAGTCTTAAATCTGATGACATGACAAACAATGGTAACTGGGGTCACCTTTCATGTTCAGTGCACAGAGAAAGTCTTTTTAAATGATACCAAGGTGCAGAAAGAAACAGAAAACAGTCACTTGATAGAATTTTGCCTCTTAGATACTTGTGTAATCTGCAAAGATTAATGTGAAGTGTTAGTTACCACTAAAACTCATTGCTCCTGAGTAGACTTCAACTCATAGTGACCCGACAAGACAGATTAGAACTGCCCTCATCCATTGTCAAGGCTGAAACTCTTTACAGAAGCAGACTGCCCTTTCTCCATGGAGCAGCTGGGGGATAGGAGTCCCACAGATCTTGTAGCTGGGTCAAGCGCTTTACCACTGTGCTACCAGAGCTCCTCTACCACAGACTGAGTATATAGTTTAGTATGGTCACTTCTCTTCTCAGAACTCTGTTTTCTCATTAGTTGGTAACTCATTAATTTTTTAATTATAATAATCTGACACACCTATACTTTTAAACACAACAAACATGTTGATTTTATGATCAAATCAAGTTGTATAGGCCACATTTTATTTTCTTAAAATTGTAAAGTGTTTTAGTTTGGAAAAGGATATTAAAAATTCCCTGGATATGATCAACACTGTCTGGTGCTAATTCAATAGGATTATTCAAAAGCCATGAAGGCCTGGCGTGGCACTGTAGGATAAACACTTGACTGCTAACCATAAAGTTAGTGGTGCAAACCCAGCAGCCGCTCCTCAGGAACCCTATAGAGGGTCATTATAAGTTGGAGCAGACTCAGTGGTGGCTGGGGTTCCCCACCCAGAGTGCATTTTCCCCCCAAATCCTTCAGCAATGAAGCACTCATTTCCCCAGTCGCTAGGACTGATGGGTGGTAGTTTTCAGCCAAGTCCCTCTCTGAAATTAGTCTTTGCCAAAGGGATCCACCCAGCCTATGGTCATGCCCCCTTCCTGGGGGTAACTTGCATCCAATGACTAATCCAGTAAGGAACATAAAGGCAACTGGAATGCTCCTTAGAAGGGTGGATGGCAAAACTTCATCTTGCTTACTTTGGACTTGTCATCAGAAAAGACCAATCACTAAATAAGAACACCATGTTTGGTAAAGTAGAGAGTCAGTGAAAATGAGGGAAGCCCTCAGTAAGATGGATGGACACAACAATCGTAACAATGGGTTCAAGTACACCATCATAAAGATGCCATTATTGCTCTGCTGTACATAAAGACTCCATAAATGGACAGTGACTCAGAGACCACTAACTACACCAATCCATGGCTCCTTTCAGGGCATCTCTGTTGAGTCCCTGTTGTCAGCTAAGGGCTTAGTTGTCACTTTGTTACAGCTTAACTTCTCTCTTAAGGAGCTCTGGTAGCGTAGTGGTTACAAATCAGGCTGCGAACCTCAGAGTCAGCAATTCGAAACTACCAGCTGTTCCACGGGAGAAAGATGAGGTGTTCTGCTCCCGTAAAGATTTACAACCTCGGAAACCCTGTACAGGGTCGCTATGAGTCGGAACCGACTCCACGGCACATAACAACAACTTCTCTCTTTGCCCAATACTGGTCCCTTCATTTCCTAACTGGTGTGGATTGATCCTGAGGGTACTCCCCAATAAAATGTTTGAAAATAAATCTCTATCTCAGAACCTCTTTCAACAGGAGGAAAACAACATGCAGTAGGCACTCACTGTCTTCCTCTTAGCTCTGTGTCAACAGAAGTGCCTCCTAGAGGTAGGAATGTTTTTTCTTTAGATTTGGTCTGTGTTTCTTGTGCTCAGTAATTAGGAGTTAGTGACAGTCTTCTCCAGTAACTATAACTACAAACACATTAAAAGCTACAAAATTATTTTGGCAAACTAAAGATTGGATTGTTGTTGTTGTGAAGCGCCATCAAGTCGGTGCCGGCCCCTAGCGACCCTGCTTAGGGTTTCTGAGGAGCAGCTGGTGAGCTTGAACCACCGGCCTTGCAGTTCAAATGGCTTTACAGTCTGGTGCATTAACCCACAGCGCCACACCAGGACTCCAAAGATTGAATTGTTGTTGTTGTTAAGTACTGTGGAGTAGGTTCCGACTCATAGTGACCCTGCACAGGGTTTCCAAGGGTGATAATCTTTACGGGATCGAAAGCCTCATCTTTCTCCCACGGAACTGCTGGTAGTTTCGAACTGCTGACTTTGAGGTTAGCAGCCCAATTTTAACTACTACAGCATTTTAAGATATTCGTTCATTATTTTAACAGTAAAAATATATATGACCATCTCATTTTCCAAGAAAAAAATAGTGCTTTTTTTTTTTTTTTTTTCGCTTAAGCCTTTGCTTCTGTAGGAATAATACCCCAGACTGAAAAATAGAACCATAAATCTGGGGAACAATTAAACAAAAATATAGACAGTTAAAAGAGAGTTTAATAACAACAAGATAAAAGGTGAATATATGCTACATAGAAAAAATAATTCAAAAAATAAAACACAAATGGAAGAAAGTATTCATGTTTAAAAAAGAAAACAAGAAATTATAAACAAAATTAGAACACATACATAATAAACATCATCCAGCACTCAAAATTAACAGATCTCATTAAATTATCTATAGTGTTTATATTTTCTGACATGGAATGATATATTTCTCTACTTGCTTTTTTTTTTTTTTTTTTCCCCTCCCCAAATAATCTGGGCTTTTAAAAATGTTTTTATTCCTAGTTTATTTTTCCTGCCCTTTAAATTATTCTTTAACGTATAAAGCTTTCTTCATTTCCAGTATCACTCCAGTACCACACACCGATATAGTTCCCATTTATTGAGATAACTCTTTTCTTTACTATATAGTCTTTACCTTTAGTTCTCTTTCTTGCAGAAGTCAATTTCTTCTACTTTATTCAAACAATCAGCTAAATCTTAAATTGAAATTGACCTTGACAAGGTAACTGGTAAACAGACACACTGTCTCAAACATAAATTCAACTATGTTATTCTCAGCAATTCAAAAATGAACTACGTGCCAAACATATTAGATGCTTCAGAACTACTCACAGCTTAGCAACAAGAGAAAGCCTGACCCCTGGTAAAGTAGCAACAGCTGATTTAGCAGATATGGAATGCTACTACATCTGATCCTTGTCAGTATAACAGAGGGTCTTATTTACCGTCTCCTTCCTGGTCCTTCTAAAGCAGTACTGTTTTCTGTTTACTTATCCCCTAGCTTTAAGCCTTGGAACAATGTTGAGCATGGTTCACTGACCCTGGTGCCAGACAGGATCAGGGGTTCTGGTATATTTACAGTTTCCCTTCTTCTGCTTCCATAAATGAAATTGACAATCTGAATGGAGAAAACCAGGGGCCAGCTGGCTAAAAACACAACTGTCAGTGAATCTGAAGCACTTGGGCTCCTTCCAAGAACTGGTGTTTGAAGAGAGGCCATTAAAAGAGCAAATCCCAACCACCACAATAACAGCTCAGGAACAAGCTGTGGTTCCAACAGTAAAATTTTACTTAGAAAGGGTTCCATCTCCAAAGTTTGGGAATCTACCACATGCCCCTTTCTTCTTAAGAAGTGCTCTAGGGTTAGGGTCAGTCCCCTAAGACAATCCCTCCTCCTCATCACAAATGGCAAATGCAGAGTCTATACTTTATGAATGTTATACATGCTGCCTGTATCATCATGGTCAAAATCTTATTTTAGCTTTAGTTCATCCCAACAAAAACCAACTAGTTAAGAAACGAAGGAGAAAGAGACTGAAGAAATGCCCTAAGCATGTAATGGAATAGCCTGGAACAGAGTCAAACACACTTGAACTAATTTGGGAGGTTATTAATATATACCATGAGGCCAACTGACAAAGGGAGATTTTTTTTTTTAATCAAATGAATTAAGATATGATTCTAACTTTGGTATTTGAGAAAGTAAAGAAAAATGCAGCTAGAATCTTATTGCTTACTTCAATAAACTGCTTGAGGAAAATCATGTTGGGGCAGTAAGTATCTAGAAGATGCTAACTTGTATTGTTTTTCTTGCTGGGCTCTGATAAAACAACAGTTGTTGTTAAGTGCCACCAAGTCAGTTCGAACCCGAGGGTCCCTGTAAAGGAATTTACGAGGAGGGCGGCTGGTGAGCTTGAACCGCCAACCTTGCGGTTCAAGCCGACTTTGCAGTTTAGCGTAGTAACCCACAATGCCACTCCAGGACTCCAAAACAATAAACCGGTCACTTATTAACCTTAAAGTATGTGATAATGAACTATCAGACATAAGATGTGTATGTAACACAACATTCTGAGAGACAGATATACAATCCAAACCATTCTCCATATAAATGAGATCATTCCTGGCAAGCAGATAAGTTTGAAGATGATGATGGGAAAGTTCTCTGTTTTTATACATACATGCATAAGTAACGAGAAAGAGAAATGGAAGAGGGAGCCAGGAAGAAAGCGAAGGGGTTCAGGCAGTTAGTGCCTAGTACAAGTTTCATAATTCTAGAATCCCAGAAACCCGTAAAGCCAGTAGCTAGAGTTCCCCCGCCCTCGCCTCCTCGGAATGCTTTACCTCAATATAGGGCACGATCTTGCAGGAAAAGTCCTCTAGCAGCCACTTTTTGGTCAGCTCATGGAAGATAACGAGCGGAAGGCAGAAGAAGATGATGAGAAAATCCCAGAAGGCCAGGTTGGCCAACAGGGAGTTGGAGATGCTCCGCATGTAGTAGTTATGACACACAATACACATCACGGCCAGGTTACCAATGATGCCGGTCCCAAAGATCACCACCGACAAGCACATGACCGCGTAGGCTCCATAAGACTCCTGGGTCAGCGGGTAGAAGGGGTTCTTGAGTCTCACACGCCTGTTTGTGTTGTTCCCCCGGCGGGAGCCGCCGCGGTCCAGAACCCCTTCACCCGAAGTCCCATTCTGGGCCAGCGCCCTACCTGGAGGGGCAAGTGTCCGCCCTTCGTGCCCCGCGACAGACTTGGGTGGGGGTTCGCGGTGGGCACCCTGGAGTTTCCCGGCTCTCTTAGGCCGGTAAAAGAGCTCTCCGGTTCGAGCTTCCATCCTCACACTCTGTTTTTGACTGTGCCCCGAAGTGCCAGCGCCCCTAAGGCCATTCCCTTCCTCCTCTGAGGTCTGCAGAAAGCGTTGGAGGGCCGTGAGGTGGCCCCTCCCCAAAGCGCTCAGGGGTTCCAGGCCCCCAACACCTTTCCATCTCCAGGCGCCAGGCGGCCTGGCAGGGGCTCCCGCGGTCCGCTCCGCCGCTGCCTCCACCCCTCTGGGCGCCCGAGGGTCACCGCCCGGGGCCGCCGACAAGTCCCAGGAGGGCGCCGCGCGCACCGCTGCTTCCAACTCCTCCTCCTCCTCTCTGGGCGCACCGGCTCGCAGAGCATCTTTAACAGAATTTCCTGGCCCCCAAATGTCCCTGCTGGGGTTCTGGATCAGTGCAGGAGAGCAATGCTCCCCCAGACAAGTTTCGTCCCCGGGCTCCTGAGTGGCCCCAAGGGTAGGGGCCGCAAACACCTCAAGTAGCAGTAGGAGCAGGAGCCGCGAGGCGCGGGCCAGAGGCGCACCCAGAACCCGCATGGCTCCGCGTGGGCGCACCGGGCAGCTCGGCTTAGGCTCGCCACCCGCAGCCTAAGTTACTGCCGCGAGTTAGACACATGCCACTATTCACCCCCGCCCAGGCCGTGGGTGGGGGGCCAGAGACTATCCGGAGGTTGAAGGATAGGTCCTGAGGTCACACCCTCACTACTATTCTTCCGCGTTGGGCATTCCCTCCGCAAATCCAATCCGAGCTCTGGGTGCCCTCAAGGGTCCAAGAAGAAAACCTCTGCTCCTGGCGGCTGACCTTGAAAAGTTACCACCAACACCTGACTGTTGCTGAATGTTGCGCCTGGGAGCAGCCAGGATGCAGCCCCACGCTCCTCCCAGCTTGGATGACCTCTTGCCTGGTAACAGTTGCTCAGTCTCTTTACATCCTTTCTATGCTCTTAATCCAGTTCGGATCCAAGGTCTCCAGGGGGAAGGGAAAACAAGTCCCCCTCCTCCAGAGGGCTGGTAGCCACCCTCCCGCTCTCCGCTAGCTGGAAACAGGTTGCAAACAGCCTGACGCCGCGCGGATGTGGCTCCAGAGACCTGAGAGGCCAAGACAGCCGAGGAGAAGCTGGATTGGATACTGCGGCCACTGTCAAAGTTGCTTCGGTTCCTGCCCAAAGTTGATGGAGGGGTGGCGCGGGCGGCGCGTTCCCGCGAAGAAGGGAAGCATCGGGCTGGGCGGACACAGTGCTTCGTTGGCCGGGGCTGGCGGCCGCCGGAGCTGGTGGCCACGACAGCGGGTGCGACGCGGGCGGAGAGCGCGGTGCCTGGAGCTGCCGCGGGCGAGGCGGTGCATGGCCGGGAAGGGGGCGGTGGCCGGCCTCTCCCCGCCGCCCCGGTCGCTGCGCGCGCCGGCGACACAGAACACTGGAGCTCCTCACCTCCTGCCCCTCCTCCCTGGAGAGACACTGGTTTGTGGGAAGACGGGATCCCCTGGTGGTTTACGATTTACTAAACCCGCAGCCGCTTCATTCAAGCCCTTTGTAGCGGCTTTCACTCGTAGGAGCTGTAAGCCGCTAGGGACAGGGGCGGAGGCGCGGAGTCTGCGCGGCTGAGGCTAGGGATGGGCGGGACAGGTTAATTCCCCAGCTGTCAGAACCGGCCCAACCGGTCTCAGAGCAGGAGAAGGGGCGAGACCCGAGGATCGCAGCCAGGCGGCGTGGCCTCTGCGCATGCCCAGGTCTCGGCCCGAGAGGGTTAGTAAAGAGAGGCGCTCACCTGCTTAGGTCTTCCGAGGAGTTATGAGAAGACAGTAAGGACTCGGAGGTTTCAATCATGGAGACGTAGCCGCTTGGGGAGCAGGTTGCAGAGTGAGAAGGCGGGTGCACCATTACCTTTAGCAGGATTTAGGAAGCATCCTGCCAGGTGTTACTTAGAACCAGCCAGCACACGGAGGAAGTCGTTTTGTTTGATAAAGCAGATCAGGCTCCAAACCCAAATCCAAATTCATTGTGGTCCAGCGATCGGAACTCATGACGACCTCGTGTGTTACAGAGCAGAGCTGCTCCTTGGGGTCTTTTTTCTTGGCTGTAATCTTTAAACCAGATCCATAGGCATTATTTGGGTGGTACTGTTGTTCCAGCCACGAACCTTTACGTTATTGCTAGGTGCCTCGAGTCACTTCCGACTCATGGCGACCCCTATATAGGGTATCCGAGGAGTGGCTGGAGGGTTTGAACCACCCAACCTTGCAATTTGCAGTTCATTGCTTATCCTACAGCGCCTAGCGCAAACCATTTGTATAGAAATGATACCCCAAAACCCATAGAATCGATTCTGAGTCAGCGCCACCTTTTTTTGGATAGAACTGCTCCAAAGGGTTTCTCAGACTGTGGTCTTCAGGGAAGCAGACAGCCTCATATTCTCCATGAAGCGGCGTGTGTGACCTTGTGGTTTGTACCTCTAGCTTTAACCCACTGTATCACCAGGGCTCCTTGAAGGGGAGAAAGGAACTTGAATTCCCAGCATGCTTAGTCTTGTTCAACAACCTTGTATACCTGACCCTGCCACAGATACCAGTTCATGGTTAGTTAATAAAATATACAAATCTCAGCACATTGATTAAGAGGTGGCGGAGTGGTTACGAGTCGTGCTGCTAAGCTCAAGGTCAGCAGTGCGAAACTAGCAGCCGTTCCACCGGGAAAAGTTGAGGTATTCTGCTCCTGTTAAGATTTACAGCCTCCGAACCCTTATGCAGAATCACTATGAGCTGGAACTCCACACCACCAAACACATTCTTAAAATTAAAAAGACAACGTATCTAGAGAGAAGGAAATACAATGAAAAATATTGCCAATTTTTTGTGGTGGTTGTGTTCCAGCTTTAGTGACCCTGTATAGGTAGGCTTTTTGAGGCTGTAAACTTTTACTAGAGCATAAAACTTCAAGCTGGTGGATTCAAACTGCTGACCTTTCAGTTAGCAGCCCAACACATAACCCACTATGCCACCAGGGTCAATGCAACTAGGTAGAATGACAGCCTCCCAAAGATGCCCACATCCTCATCCCTGAACCCTGTGACTATGACACTTTACAAGGCAAAAGGAACTTTGTAAATGTGATTCAATTAAGGATTTTAAACCAGGAGATTATCCTGGATTATCCCAATGTAAACATGAGGTTTCTTAAAAGAGGGAGTTTAGAGGATCAGAATTAGAGATGGGGCCATTGTTCAAACCCATCAGCCACACCCAGAAACACTATACAGGATACCTCTGAGTGGGGAACGATTCCACAGCACTTAACAACAACAACCACAGAAAACCACCAAGCCTTAACAAAGATTAAGAAATAACTACACACTTATATAAAATGCTGCAAAGCTAAGTAAACCTCCTGGTGACCCCCTGTGTTTCAGAGTTACTATTGTTGAGTGCCTTCGAATCTGTTCCAACTCATAGCTACCCTGTATAGTGTTTCCAAGGAACAGCTGCTAAATCTGAACTGCCAACATTTTGGCCCAGTGCTTTCCCTACAGTGTCATACCAGGACTCCATGTTTCAGAGTAATCAGGTTTTTAAGGCTGTGATCTTTTGGAAACAGAACACCAGGCCTTTATTCTGAGGCATCTGTGGGTAGGTAGAATGGCCAAACTTTTGATTAGGCATCTAGCACTTAGCCATTTAAGCCACCCAGGGACTACAAGGAGTAGGTAAACATTTATGGAAAAGGTTACAAAGTTACTCAGTTCATTTTTTGAAGCCAGCATAACTTTGATATCAAAACCAGCTAGAAACACAGAGACAAAAAAAATTACAGGTCAATAACTGTATTCCATTAGGCATTAACTTAGTCATTCAAATATATTCAATCATTTCCTCAAATGCATTTATTCATTAAATAAATATTCTGCTCAAGGTACTGAGGGTCAGCAGTGAACTAAAAAAAAGTTCTGCTCTCAGTGGGTCAGATTCAACTGGTGGAGCCACTCAATCATCTATGCCAAGAAATTTGGAAGGCAGCTACCTGACCTACTGATTGGAAGAAATCCATATCTGTGTCCATTCTAAACAGAGGTGACCTAATGAAATATGGAAATCATCGGTCAATATCATTAATATCATATGCAGGTAAAAATTTGCTAAAGAAAATTCACGAAGGGTTGTAATAATACATTGACAAGGAACTGCCAGAGTTTTCATGTGGACAGAGGACAAGGGATAGCAGTGCTGACGTCAGCTGGCTCTTGACTGAAAGCAGGTAATACCAGAAAGATTTACTAATTGTGAAAGGCTTTTGACTATGTGGATCATGTTGAGATCCACATTGTGGAGGATGAGCATTCCAGAACACTTACTTGTGCTTATGAGGGACCTGTACATAGACCAATGGGCAGTCGCTCGAGCAGAACAAGGGGACACTGAACGTTTTTAAATCAGGAAAGGTGTATGCCGGGGTTGCATTCTTTCACCATATTTATTCAATCTATAACATTGAGCAAATAATATGAAAAGGTGGATTATATGAAGAAGAACATGGCATCAGGATTGGAGGAAGACTCAATCACAACCTGTGATATGCAGATGATTACAACCTTGCTTGCTGAAAGCCAAGAGGACTTAAAATATTTACTGATGATCTAAGACCACACACAGCCTTAGGTGTGGGTTGTTGTTGTTGTTGTTGTTGTTAAGTGCCGTTGAGTCGGTTTCGACCCATAGCGACCCTGTACAGGGTTTCCGAGGGTGCAAATCTTTACAGGAGTAGAAAGCCTGATCTTTCTCCCGCGGAGCAGCTGGTAGTTTCAAACCGCTGACCTTAAGGTTCGCAGCCTAATTCATAACTACTACACTACCAGAGCTCCGCTCAATATAAAGAAAACAAAAATCTTCATCACTGGACCAGTAAATAATATGATAAATGGGGGAAAGACTGAAGTTGTCAAAGACTTCTTTTGTTTGGATCCACTATCAACACTCCTGGAAACAGCAGTGAAGAAATCAAATGATGTATTGCATTAGGCAAATCTGCTGCACAAGACTGCTTTAAAGTGTTCAAGAGCAAAGATGTCAGGATGAAGACTAAGGTGCACCTGATCCAAGCCATGGTATTTTTTATAACCTCATATACATGTGAAAGTTGGACAATGAATAAGGGAGACTGTAAAAATAAAAAAAAGGATGAATTAGAGTTACGGTATTAGAGGACAATATTAAAAGTACCATGGACTGTTAAAAGAACAAACAAATCTATTTTGGAAAAAGTACAGTCAGAATGCTCATTTGGGGCCAGGATGAAGAGACTTCATTTATCATAGTTTCAACATATTATCAGGAGTGACCAGTCCCTGGAGAAGAGTATCATGTTTGGTAAAGTGGAGGGTCAACCAAAAAGAGCAAGACCCCAACGAGATGGATTGGTACCGTGAGAACAGCAATGGGTTCAAGCTGAACAATAATTGTAAAAATGGTGCAGAACCAGGCAGTGTTTCATTCTGTTGAACATAAAATCACTATGAGTCAGAAGCAACCCCATGACACCTAGCAACAA